TGCTGTTTTGCCAGCTCTGGGCTGTGCGTGCTTGGGTTTGTATGTCTGAGCACAGAAGAGATGCAGTGCTGGAGGGTGCTGGATGTCCTGCGTGAAGGGGTGCCCTAAAGCAAAGGCTGGGCCTTTCCATTGCAGCCCATCCCAACCCATCTCCCGCTGCCGAGGTGCTGGGGCTTTCAAGGCAGCCTTGGTAATCCCTAAAACCTTTAGCAGCTCTGGGCCGTGGGTGGAGCTGGATTTCAGCATCTGTTTACACAGCCCTGCCCGAGGCTTCCTGGAGATGTCTTGGCAGGCGGTGGGCTGGGGCTGAAGTGAGGGATGACAGCCCCGGGAGGAAGACAGGAGGTGGCTTCATTGATTTGCTTGTTTTCTTTCCCTTCTTTGACAGAGGCAGTGTGCCCTGGGGGTGAACTTCTTCACGGTGGCCTCTCACCTCTTTAAACCCCCCAACGCCGGTATGGCCATGGGATAGCTCTGTGTATCCACAGTCCTCCCCACCCAACACCTGAACTGATGGTGAGGTGGTTTGGGGAGCTGATCTGGCTGAAAACAGCTGTTAATGGAAAATTGCCCATGTGGGGAACAGAAATTCAGGTCTGGGTCTTGCTGTGGCTTTGTAAACATGAGGGACAGAGGAGCTGATGCGGGTTGTGGCATCCCAGACTTGCACCAGCTGGTGGGTCAGGATAGTGACGCCAACTGCAATAGCACCTGCAGCATCCAACCCAGGAGCCGCGTGGCAGGGTGCCCTGTTCGTTATGAATGAGTGATGCCTGATATCACTAATAATTTGCCATAAAAGCTTTGAGTAAACTTGTCGAATGCAGAGGAATTCACTTTTCTGGTGACAAAACAGCCATGCAGCAGCAAAGCCAGGGGGAGCAGTAGCTCTGAAGGTGGGCAGAGACTTTCAGGCATGACTTAGGGCTGCTGAGAGCCTAAGTCCTTTTTTTTTTATCCTTATCCCATGCTCCAAACCCTGTTCCCAGCCGAGGTTGCAGGAGTAAGCTCCTGTACCCCCCTATTCTCAGGGAGGCAGGGAGGAGAGGATCCTGGCTGGGATAAAACTGATGTTAAAAGTTGTATCCTACGAAATGAAAGCAAAACTCTCACTGGGGCTGTGATGTTTTTCATCCTTTCTGCCTGTAATGGGAAAAATATGTGCCTGCATGTTAGCATCAAAGGCCATTCGTGCGAGGAGCCGATGGCTGTTTCTGGGCTGTTTCTGCCTCGGGACCCCCACAGAGACCTCGGCGCCGTACCCTGACGGTGTTGGCGTCTGGCAAAGCTCTTCGGCTGCCCCGTTCCTTACCCTATGAGCTGGCTGGACACTGAGTCGTGGGGCTGGAGAGCTTGTGTGGAGGTTTGAGGCTCCAGGACAGCTGCTTTTCAGCTGATTTTGGCATTGCTGCCTTCCCCTGCCTGCTGCATGCAGCAATGGGGGGGATTTTTGGGTACCCTATATACCCGCCCTCCAGAGTCATCGTGGGGGGATGCTACAGCACTGCAAGGGCTTTATGGGAGCTGGGGGGATGCTACAGAACAGGGAGAGCTTTGGGGGAGCTGGGGGGGAAAGGGGATGCCCCCTGAGCAAAGAGGGTTGGTGATGAGATGTGGTACCCCAGGTGCTGTTTGGTTTGGGGGGTTTGGGGGTGCACAGAGGCAGCACACACCAGCTTGTTTAAAAAAAAAAAAAAAAAAGGTTATTTATTGCTGTCCATACAGCTTTGGTTATAAGGCAAGGGTGGTTGCAGGGGTCTGTCCAGCTCCCACAGGCGAGCGCTGGCAGAAGGCACAAGAGCTGGACTGCCCATCCTTCAGGGTGGGGGAGATGGAGATGCTCAGCCCCCCCTGTCATGAGACAAGGGGTCCCCCAGCACCCTAGAGCAGCCTGGTATAGTATATATGTCCCACATGGGAATGCTAAAGCACTTAAGGAGTGTGTTTATGGCTTATATGTTAGCTCAGCTTCTCTCCGCTGTCCGGGTTTTCCCAGTCTTTCTTCCTCATGCTCCGTCATACAGCCCCCAGCTCAGTTTCCCATCAGAGAGGAGGACTGGGAAATTATTTTGGTCTGTTTGGGCTCAACACCTCCCCATCAGGGTTGGAGCTAGAGCAGTGCAGCTCAGAGGGTCCAGCCCAGCCGAGTGTTTTGCACCGCAGGCTTCAGCGGTGAAAGGGAAAGGTGCAGGGGGGAAATCAGCTGTGTTACATCTGGGAGAGGGACTGAGGGTGGCAGGGCCTGATCCTGCAACATGTAGGGAGGGTGCAGGCACCCTGGGTGCTCCCAGCACCCAGCCCGCAGAAGCCCTTTGTGCTCCTGCAGGGATGAAGCCTGTGGAAAACCTTCTGCTCCACAAAAATGGCCTGATCCAAGCCCGTGACCCCATCCAACATGTCCTACTGTAAAGTGCCATCATATCTCTGCCCCCCAGAGCCACATGCTCTGGGACCCTGTGTCCAGAGCTATTCCTGCACTCTCAGACTGGTCCTTCTGCTCCTGGTGCTTCACGTGAGGTTGGTGGTAGGAAGGAGGCACCTGGCCAAGGGCCCGGGCACTGGTCATGGTGTGGATACCATCTTTGGTGCCACTGGACCAATAAGATGCTCTTTGCAAGAGATCTCCTTCCTGGACATAGCTTGCTGCTGCGGGTAGAGGAGCGCTCATGGTGGTCAGCTCTTGGGATGGGTGATGGTCGCCCTGTTGAGGGTGGACTCTCATCCTGCAGCCACGCTTTGGTCTCAGGAGGGAGGTAAGTCAGGAGGTGGCAGATTTGGATGCCTAGAAAGCAGCAGCACAGTGAGGATCTGCTCTACATCACCCGAGCTTGTTTGAAGCTCTCAACTAATGGAGCCCAGCCCTGACCCCCATCTAAGGAGGGGTTGAACTACCAGCCCTGGGCCTGAGTCTTGGCCCCCTTTGACTCCTGACCACCCACAGCTCCCAGAAGCTCAGCAAAGGCATGGCACTACATGAAGATAAATGCTACAGAAAGAGGGGGAACCCCCAAGGCACACTTTCCTTTTCCCCCCTTTAACAGCAGAGCATGATGCCCAAAACCAGCAGGAGGGTCCCCAGGTGGACCTGGGGCACTGCTCCTCCAGCCCTGCTCTTTGACTCCCTTGGCATGTGGTAAACGATCACCAGCTTTTCTCCGGCACTGGAGGGATCCATTTCATCCCCCTTGTAGCAGCTCCGACCCCCGAGGTGGCTGGCTTGGGGGTCATCTTGGAGCAGGTCTTCAGCTGGATTCTCTGACCCAGCCAAGGCCACATTGACTGAGACATCCCGCATGCCCACATCGTTGACAGCGAGGCAGGTGTAGATGCCTTCATCCT